TGATGTCAGAGGTTGTATTTTCGTTTCAAGACCTCAAAATTTTAATCCAAAACTCGATTGTTGCTGCTGTAAACACAGCAGTGAAATAACTTTTTGCCTCTAAGCAAGACAAAATGGATCTGCTACAACAACAAACATCAAGCAAGATAGAGGAAGGCCAGCCACAATGGAAGGAGGAGAAGCAAGGACACTTCTATATAGAAGATATAGAAGAAACCTATAATCTAACTGATATGGTCTACAAAATGAAACCAACACCTCCAAATAAAAATAAAACTTTTGTAGAAGTTCACCTGAGACTCTATAAAGACACCAATACTGATGAAGCCCACAAAACATTGATTTATATACCGACCCAGAGAGAGAGAGAGAGAGAAAAGCAATTTATGGAATTTCAAACCACTTCAATAATTGACTACAGATGGCTATTCCCAGAAAACAACTTCTACACCTATAAAGAAAAAAGACACAGAATTAAGACTTTAAAACTTAAGAAGGGAAACCAGAAAAAGAAGGAAGGAAGGAAGGAAGGAAGGATTGGAAAGCTACAACTTCTGAGAGAAATCTAGAGACTTATAATGGACTAAGATCCTAAAGATGGACTAAAAAATGAGCTGTGAGAGAGAAAGAGAGAGAGAGAAGAAAATAAGAACCATACAACCACATATAGTTAATGGAAGAGTATGCTAAAATACTTACGACAAAGGTTAAATTAGTAGAAAATAAGATTTATATATCTATATCCTTGCAAAATATTGTATACACAAGGTGGAAAACTGACAGTTTTAGATTATGTATGAGGTAGATTAATAGGGGAAAATGATGTGTTAATCTGTTTGTCTTGAAAATAAAAAAAATTACAAAGACAGAAGTAATGACTAGTGAGGAATTACACAATTTTAAGCTTGACAATGAAGAAATTGAAATTGTTAATGATTTTCTATTCCTTGGCCCCATCATCAACCAAAATGGAGATTGCAACCTGGACATCAGAAGGACATTGAGATGGGAAGGGCGGCCATGAAAGATCTAGAAAAGACCTTAAGTATAAGGATGTGTTGCTGGCAACCGAGATCAAGATAACTCATATAGCAGAATCCCCCAGTATGTATGGGTATGAAAGTTGGACAATGAAGAAAGTTGGTAAGAAGAAAGTTGATTTATTGAAATGCGGTCTTGGAGGAGAGTTTTATGGATACCATGGACTGCCAAAAAGACAATAAGTGGGTTCTAGATCAAGTGAAGCTTGAACTCTCCCTAGAAGCTAAAATGATTGAACTGAGGCTATCATACTTCAGTCACATTATGAGAAGACAACTCAAAGGAAAAGACAATAATGCTAGGAAACATTGAAGGCAGCAGGAAAAGAGGAAGATCTAACATGAGATGGATTGACTCAATCTAGGAAGTCACAGCCCTTAATTTGCAAGATCTGAGCAAGGCCTAATGGTTGGATGTTTTGGAGGTCATTAATTCATGTTGCTGTTGCTGTTAGCCATTTAGTCATGTCCGACTCTTGGTGATTCACAGGCACTTACACACACACATCACTAATCTGGTGTCAAATCTTTTCATCTTCTGGAGGAAACATGCAGGCAGCCATTTCCAGGCTTGATTTTACAGACCTGGATTTATGTAGAATTGTCCTCAGTAATTTTCTAGTGTCACAGCAAGCCAGGAAACCACCGAGAAGCCCTGCAGATCAGTGCTCCAAACCAAACTGAGTATGGAAACAGATCTGTCCTACTGGATGTGCCAAGAGGTATCCAGCACCAGATGGTGTGTGCCTAGGATATTTCATGCCCATTGCCTAACAGGTAGTCAATGCTGTCCCCACCACCTGTTAAGTGGGAAGGGAAGAGGTGGCTGGTACTGTTATAACATTAGGACAGGACACACATTGTAAAGAGGCCATAATCTTGTTCTAGCCTTCCAATTTCCTGTGTTTGGATGAAGGAGCCAAACCTGATGACTTTGTCTATACTTGAGCTGCAAATGAATGCAGAAGCCAATATTAATGTACATGCTTAACACTATATTCCTATTGCCTTTCAATACGTTAAGACGTGATCACAGCTGGGAATCTTACCAAGCATGCCCACATGATGTTGGAGTACTCTCTGTCCACTTTCTATACAAATCTGGTCCCCAGTTCAAGTTTGAAAGTAGGCTTCAGCTCACATCAAAGCAGTATTTTCTTCCAATGGCATGTATCTGTGGACAATTGTCTAAGTGATGCCAATATCCACAGTTCAGCCATTCTTGGATTCTATAGTTTAGAAGCTGTAAACAGACCACTAAATTATTTTATGCTGCAATTTCTGTTAGAGGCAACTGTGTGCTGGGCAAGGAGTTGGGGCTTGAGGATGAATGGGCTGTTCGATAGTGAGACTCGGAGGAGTTTGGGGCATTTGACTTTGTTGCTGTGGTCATCATTATATATTTAGGGAGATGAACAGAGCCAGAGGACAAGAGTATATGGGGCTGATCAGAGAAATGGCCTTTGTGGCAGAACTCTGAGCAATGGTAAATCAGAAACTGCTTTTCTGCCATGAAAATCAGAATCAGAGTAATACAGAAATTAAAAAAAGAACAGTTGACATGTATTAGTGAACAGGATGATTGATTATTCTATTGCTGGTAAGAGAGAGGCAGCATATTTCTGAATACCAAATGCTGAGGACAAACTATGGTAGATGACTCTCACATTCATGCTTTCTCAGTGGGTTTCTCAGAGCCATTTGTCTGGCCACTGTTACAAACAGGATGTTGGATGGGACTAGACAGAACCTTCATCAGATCCAGAAGTTGTCTTTTTACAAGCACGTAGAGTAATGTGATGATATAATGTGTTATTCTAGCAAGGTAATTTTTTATGTTTCTAAAACTGGATCCTAAACTCCAAATTATTTCCCCCCCTTAGGACTGTAAGCTGCTTTGGATCCCCTTTGTGGAGAAAAGTGGGATAGAAATATAAAAAAACATTGGTGTGTGTGTGAATGTGTTGTTACCTATGGTGTTTCCCTTCACCCACCACCCCACGATAATTAATTAATTTCCCTTACCTGTTCCCATCACCCGTGGCAAAGGTTCTCTACTTAGAGAAAACTAAAACAATGCACACCTGATATGAGCATATCAACATATTTTCCACAAATACAAGTAGCAATCTTGCCAGTAGCTAAGAAAACTTAATTTGAGGAAATGAGTCAGTCTCTTCATTTTTTCTTCCTACCAGCACTAACACAACCTGGGGAAAGAAGTGCAAAAGGGAGAGACTTACCTTTTCAAAACAGATATTTAATTTAAACCTCTTTTTAAAAGGAAAATAAAATAGCTGTAGTACAACTCATCATAGGTCAGGTCATGGTGCCCTATGATTAGTTAGAACAAAATGGTTTTGTGTAGTTTTTGATCAACATTCATGTGGGTGACATACATATTTGTGTAAGATCAGGGTGTTTTTGATGTTTTTAAACCTTGATTTATATGCAATATTGTATTTCTTTTAGGATGGATGCATTAAGAAATCCTCTGGATGTTCTCTGTCTATATCCCATGTAAAGGATGTTTAAGTAATCTTCCTATTACAGGCACGATGTTCTGTGCCAATCTTCTACTATGACAGACAAACCAGAATTTTCATTAAAAGTACCATACAGCATTATAAAACTCAAAAGTTCCATGTGTAGCATGTTGTACAGGCAGAGTTCCTACATCAAGTTCCCTGCCTTTTCATGATCTGGGGCAGTTCTGCAACAAGAGAGAAATATCTATGGAACCAACCCTGAAACCAAAGTCAACAGGAAGCTTCTTGCATGTGCAGGAATTTTATATAATTAATCTCCTTTACTCAAAAACACCTCCTGTAATGGGCTGTGTGGGAATTCCTCCCCACCTCCGCCTCCTGATTTTTTTTTACTGGGAATAAATTTGGAAAACTGTTTTCTTACAATATACTCCACCTCCATTCTTTTCTTTTTTTTTGAGGAAGGATTGCACAGATCTACCCTCCTTACACACAACATATATATATACCCCAGAGAGCACTTCGGTCAGGGTCACAAAACCAACTGACCCTCCCAGGTCCTAAGGATGCCAAGGCTGGCTGCAACCAGGGCCAGGGCTTTCTCGGTGGCGGCTCCATACTGGTGGAATGAGTTCCCTGAGGAGATCAGGGCCCTGTGGGACCTTTTACAGTTCCACAGGGCTTGCAAGATGGAGCTCTTCCATCAGGCTTTCAATTAGGAGCCACCACCACCACCATCATCACCATCATCACCACCACTATTATTACCATCATCGCCTGGTGCCTGGTTCACTACTGTCAGCCTGTGCCCGCCGATTAGATATGAAAAGACCAACAACCTGAATACTTAAACAATCTATAGAATGTATACCACCCTCTATATGATAGTACAAACCCTACTAATAACACTTTAATGTTGACATAATATGGTTTTAATTAATGGTTTTAGAAGTTTTATGATATTTGAATGTTATTATGTTTTACTTGTGTAAGCCGCCCTGAGTAGGCTGTTTTACTTGTGTAAGCCGCCCTGAGTCTGCTGAGGCAGGGAGGTCAGGGTACAAATTTGAATAAATAAATAAATAAAATGTGCAAAGAGAAGAGCACATACCCACTTCCACCACCATAAACATCAGACTACTAGTTGGGCTAATGTAAAGCATACCTAGAAAAACCTAGGTAAAAACCTGACTAAATTGTAGGAGAGCTATGTTGTGTCCCCTAGCCTTCTACTGGTCTACTCTGTTTTAAAGAGCAAACTGGAGGCTATTAGGTCACATTACCTTCCAAAGAGCCATCTAGAAGGATGTAATCAGGTGATACTGCTGTGGAAGCAAGAGGCTCCTGGGCACAGACATTTATGTCAAGAGTATCCTTGAGAGCTAGCAAAAAGAACTGAAGATGAAGTCCAACACCACCAGGGCTTTTTCTTAGGAGAATATTAATTACACATCCTTCAAAATTTCTGGAATTTTATTTGCCTCAGGCTTATGACTTGCAACCAAAGACATTGTGCAAAGAAAGCAAAGATTAAGTACACTTTGGGGAAAGGTGGCAAACCACATTGGTAACACAAAAGATAATGTGATGAAAGAAGCCATTCATTACACTATATAGATTGCAATATTCAATAGCATTTTAAACCCAACTTTTTAAAATCAAGAAAAAAAGCAAAAGAAAAAAAAGCAAAGTTTACAGTAGACATACATTTCTTGTATGCAGTTCAAAAAGCATTTTTGCCAAGAGATCATTGAGCGTAAAGTGAAGCAATGAATGGGACAGGACAGGGTAAAGTCTACCTACTGTACATTTAGAGGCTCTTAAACAAAATTACATATGTGTACCACAGTGAAAAAAACAAATACAGAACTAATAAAACCTTGAAAACTGCCTGATGAAAAATAAAATCACCAGTTGCTTTTAATGGCTTTTCCCGGTTAGCAATGCTACAAAAGACATTTTTTAAAATCTTTCTGATGCATATTGATAGCATCGAATCAAATATTGAAACCAGGAACAGTCAAACCATTAGTAAGCTAAACCCAACCCATAGAAATATACTATCAACCCATGTATTATTTTCCAACAAAAGTTGTTTTTTGCCCCTTACTTTGTTTTTCTTTTTTTATTTTTGAGGCCCATTTGGTCACAGTATGTTACATTTTTTTTCTTTTTTTCTTTTTACACCATGATATCATATGTTTGTCTGGCACTACCCTAAAGCTAGTTTATAGATGATGAAAATACAGAAACACCCCAATGCCTATCTGACAAAATGAATTCACTGGGTGTAAAACGACAGAAGGGAAGAAGGTTCTCAGTTCAGAAAACTGGACCGTCTGCATCACTCGTCATCACTGGCGCTTGCTTCTGACTGGTCCTGAGAGGCAGGAGAAAAAAATGGTAGAAGCTGATTTTGGAAGGCAAGAAGAAAAAAACAGAAACTACTTAAAGGCTAATATTAGAACTATAATAAAGAAACAAGATGAAATCCAGAGACAACTGGACATGTAAGTCCCACTGAAAGCATTAACTGTTCACTTAAGCCCTATGGAATTCAATAGGCAGACATGCACTTGTATCAAGGCTGAGAATGGCGGAAACAGCAGAGAGTTATGCACATGTTGCTATGACTCTGGATACACTGCACATAATATACAAGCCTAAGTATGGGTTTTCACCTGGGAATGAGAATGAGGTTGCACTTGGTGTTTCACATGAATTATGGAGCTGCTGGATTTCCTCCACCAGACGGGAGGTTTTTGTATACCTTATGTAGCTGATCTGCAAGAGGAAAGTTGTTTCCACAAGCAGAATGCAGTTCTTGGACTGATTCCTTATAATTTCCTTATATAGGCATTTTGTGCTCCTTTCTGTGCACCTCAGGGCTGATACACATTATAGTAATCACTTGGAGAGTGCCTCAGTTCTATCCTCATGGAGACTGTTGCCATTTTGAGGTCCACTGCTCGGCCAACACTTACCATGCAAATGGGAGAAATTCTCTTTGCTACTAAAGACCCTCATTTTGGTTATTTGTGTTGGCCTAGTTGGTAATATTGAAAGCATGATCTCCATGACTCGTTTTACTATCCCTAATGCCAAAGCAATGATTCCAGTCCCAGGGACTGTCATTCTACTCTTAGAGCTGTCATTCCAGGCCCAGGACAGGTTTCTCCCAAGCCATTATGCATTTTCATTGCAACTTTTCTGTACTTTAATGTATTTCAATGAAGCCTATGCAAGTCAACTGGCATTCATGGCTCCCATCATATCCAGTGGGTCTTCGGCAATCTCTCACTGTTCCCAATGGGTATACGTGTCATTAAGTATGAACATGCACTGTATTGTGGTTGTGAAGTAGCATATGTAGCTCAATCTCCTGTGTTTTTAGTTAAAACCGTGTCCCTTAATTCAATGACATCACCAATGCTCCCTCTAAGCTGTGGAGGCTTGTGAGCAACTGGCATTAAAGTTGTGAGCGAGCGACTGGGCTGCTGCATTAGTTGGCTCTCTGGAGCCATCCTTCCTGAGCTGAGACAAAAATGTGTGAGCCAGAGGCCAAAAAACTGTGAGCTAGCTCACACTAACTCAGTTTAGAGGGAACACTAGAAATCACCCCAGTTAAGTTTGCAGAGGAGTCCAGCTGAGTTATTGATAAAGACATTTAAAAAAAAAAAAGAGTTGGCTGGTTTGTGAGCACCTGTACCATTTTTGACAATTTATTTGAAGAGCAAGTTTCTCCTGCCACAAACTGCAATTGAAAATTTTCTATGTTTCAAAAGCAGTTTGTCCATATAACCTATGAGGTCTGACTGTCAGGAAACCAAAGTCCGAATGTGAACTGTGCATACTCATCTAGTCATGCGGTTCTTTTGAATGAAATTCAGCAAAACAAGTTCTTTCTTTCTTTTTCGCTGTTACACATATAGTAGTTAATCTTAGTACTTAGACTGGCTGCGAGACAGTGGGCTAACAATGCATTCTGAATTTTTTTAAAAAACCTTTCTCCTTTGATTTACAAATTCTTGTTACATTTTGGAAACTGACTTGGAAAATTCTACCAGTTTCCAGAGAGATTTGTAATGGGGACTGGTGTGCGTGTGTGCATCTATTTTTGAGAAGCATAATTGTGCTGTTTCCTGGATCCCACCCATGAGTTGAAGTACTCCATCTTAATGAATGTGAAGAGCCCAAGTTGTACACTTGACAAATTTCTTATCTAAGAATTCTGAATATTCAAAACTTTAGTATTCAGAGTCTAGTAAATACAGCAAGATGGCAATGAATGGCACGTGCAGGAGAAACCACTGTGAATACATTTATTACCCCTGTAAGCAAAACTTACATTTTCTTCTTGATCCTCATCAGTGTCATCATCGCTCACCACTGGTTTGGCTTTTACCCGGCTTTGGCGCTTCTTGCCTTTTCCTTTGTCTCGGTTTTTCTCATCTTTTTTGTTGAGCTTTATTTTCACTTTTACAGATTTGGCTGGAAAATAAAAATTGGGAGAATTTAGTGGCTAAAAGCAATATTTATATTTTCTCAACCATTAACAATCATCTAAGAAGTCAAACATACAGCTTATCCTGAAAAGGATCCCCTCTACATTTGAGCATACAGACAAAAAATTACAAAAGAGAGAATTAAATTTCAATATGTCGATCAAATAGATCAATATTGATCTATTTGAAATCATCTGGCCAAAAGAAGGTCTGGAAAACAGGAATCCAACTCCTACAATCATCAGGAAAACAAGAACAAGAAAAATATTTACAAGGGTACACAGTATAGCCTTCTCTAAAATGAGCTTGTTTATGGCAAAGATCAGGGACAAGGCCAGGAGCAATACAATCAGGCCAGAGTATCCCCTGTCATTTGTCTGTATCAAGACATCTTTCTTCCCAGGCAGAAAAAAACTGAATACCAAATCAGACCTATTTCAGATTTGAATGCACAAACTTACATTCTGACTCTGACTCATCTTCCTCATCTTCCTCCTCCTCATTACTTTCTTCCTCACTTTCATCTTCTTTGGCAAGCTTCTGCCGTGCACTTTTGAACACTGACTGGAGAACAATGGAATCCTCATAGATCTGTAGCATGAAAGCAAACCTGCATCAGAATTGCAAGCTGTGCTTCATCAAAAATTCACAGCATGGAACTTTATTTTCTATGCAAACCCACAGAGAGCATGGCTTTTCTCCCCTATTACAAGTCATAAGTCTTGTTGCATGAATTTTACAGGAAATGCCAATGTTAATTTTTCATGCAATAAATGAAGGGGAAAACACACTTCAGTGACAACCCAGCACAAATATAAAGCTCTGTGTTATATTAATTTTCGAATTTTGAAGCACCACCTACTCTTATGTTTGAATTATTTCATGTTTTTATTACTAATGTTGTTTGATTCTTCAAAGAAAAGTTCTAATTAAGATTTAGATTACAGCCTAACAATATATTCAAGCAAAACAAATTTCACTAATCTGATAGTAATTATTAACAGTAAAAACAAAACAGCCCATATTAGCCCAAAATGGGTTTATTTATGTGGTAAGAAGCTCTGAACTGTCATACAGAAATAAGGTAGAGCCCTCTCAATGAGCAACAAGCCATGGTATCACACATTCCTCTTCCGTGTATGCAGTTCTCTTTACACTTTCCCCGGGGCCTTTATCCATGGTGAAGAGTTATGGTTACACTGATCCTAGCATTCATTAACACTAATCACAGTCCCTCATAACCAGGCTTAACAAATGGAAACTTAATATGTTGTCGAAGGCTTTCATGGCCTGCGTTCATTAGGTTTTACAGTGCCAAGACCATGGCCATACAGCCCAGAAAAATCTACAACAAATGGAAACTTAGTTACCATTATCTATCATAAAGGTCAGTGGACATGTAACCACTTAAACATGGATAAAACACGGGGCACAAGGTAAGAGAATCTGCACATGCAAGGGGAAGTATCCGCCATCAAGGGAGGTTTGGCCATTATGGCCACCTGGAAGATAACCGGTAGGTCAGTGGTCTTGGGTGTGTGTGCCTATCCTGCCCCCTATGGACTAGGGGAAGAATGAGACTGGCCAGGCCAGAATGTACCAGAAGTAGTGTCACAGCAAAACCCCACCAGTTATTTCCTTTAAAGACCTAACTGGCCTAGGACCAGGATATTTAAAGGACTGACTGTTCTCATAACTACTTGCTCATCTATTGAGGTAACTTTCAGAGACCCTCCACCTTCTGAATTGAGTGCAAGGGGTGGGTGGTGGCTACAAACGACAAGGGGCCTTCTCTGTTGTTTACTTCATTTCACAAGATACAGCGGAATGGGGAAGATCCAACCATCATCTAAACAGACTTCCTCCAGTTTATGTGGCTCTTCCTCCAATAGAGGAAGACTTCAAACTAGAACCAAAAGGAAAGATGGAGTATAAATATAGAAATGAATAAATATATAAAGACACAAACTTTGCTCAGTGGAGTGATGGGACAGAGGTAGCCTCCACCCCAACATTACTGAGATCATATTTATTTATTTATATGATTTATGTCCCGTCCTCTGTGATTGGGCTCAGAACAGCTTATGAGGTCACATAGAATATTGTGACAGTAAAACAACACACAAAATTCAACAATTAAATTCTAAAATTTAAGATTGAAAAAGTTCAAAATTTCATATAAAAAACCAGAGTAAAAGTTGTCTCGGTAGCAACACTCGGATGTAAACCTTCTGAGTGGTGTTGTGAGGTACCAAGCCACTAACTACTAGGTTAGGACTGTCAGCAGGGGAGGCCAAGAACTGGAATTTGGACCCCGCCTCAGCTAAAAGCCCAGTGAAACAGCTCTGTTTTGCAAGCCCTGAAGAATTGTAACAGATCCCACAGGGCCCTGATCTCAGATGGGAACTTGTTCCACCAGGCTAGCCAGATGTCCTTTGGGCCAGGGACAATCAGAAGATGTTGATCAGTTGAGCACAAGGCTGCGGGGCACATATGGGGAGAGACGGTCCCTGAGATATGCAGGTCCCTGGCTGCACAGGGCTTTAAAAGTTAGTACTAGAACCTTGAATTGGATCCAGTACTCTATACGCAGCCAGTGCAGTTGGTGGAGCACCGGCTGAATGTGTGCCCACACAGGCATAGCTGTCCGCATGCATTCTGCACTAACTGCAGTTTCCGGATCAAGTTCAGGGGCAGCCCCATGTAGAGCGAATTACAATAATCAAGCCTGGAAGCGACCGTTGCATGGATTATTGTAGCTAGGTCCTGGGAAGTGAGAATCAGTTGCTTGACCAGCCAAAGATGATAGAAGGCTGATCTAGCAACGGAGGCAACCTGGCCCTCCATTGAAAGCAAGGAATACAAGATAACTCCTAGAGTCTTCATTCGTAGTGCAGAAGGCTGATCTAGCGATGGAGGCAACCTGGGCCTCCACAGAAAGCTACAAATACAAGATAACCCCTAGATTCTTCAACCATGGCGCTGGCACCAAAGGCGCCATGTTGAGGGCTGGAAGACGGATTTCCAATTCCCCATGACTCAGGTACAGGACCTCCGTCTTCATTGGATTGAGTTTCAGTCAGCTTTGTTTAAGCCAATCCACCATGGCCTGTAGTGCCCTCGCTAACACCTCTGGGGTAGAGTATGGCCGGCCATCCAGCAACAGATAGAGCTGGGTATCATCAGAGAAGGTGCATATAGATATCTAAATTTTATATCTATCTGAGCAAAATGCACATGGTTGTTACATTTTTATTTGATCTTTCTTTCAAGGAGCTCGGGGTGCAGGCCCATAGCCACAGTGGGGCATTTGGGGGTAGAGTCCCAGCACAGATGAGCCCTGTCTCACCCCGGGAGGATGCCAGACCCCAACCCCAGGTGTGCTTCTCCCCAGCAGCAGCGGGAAGGCTGGGGAAGGAAAGAGAGAGAGAAAGCATGCCTTCTTTCTCTTTCTCTTTCCTTCACTAACCCCCCCCCACACTGTTGGGTAATCTAATTGAGTTCCCCACTCCCCTGCAACAGTACCCTGGCCCCTACCCCCACCAGCCAAAAAATTCTGGCTATGGGGCTTTCGGGACGGTGTACATTTCTTTCCTTCCCATTCACACAACAATGTGGGCAAAATAGGCTGAATGTGGGTGAGATAGCATGAATAGAAGCTGTACTTGCATAGAAGATCCACATGGTATCCTAGTCATAATATGTGGCAATCACATGTATCATGCTCCCAAAAATGCATGTTTGGTGTGCCCTTGTTCCTCATGAATGGAATACCAATGCAACATTTGCAGAGGGCTAATAGCTTGCTATTACATAGGCTAAAATTAACTAAAGCAGAAAAGTAAATAATAAATCTGCCATATATAATGGACAAACACATTACAAACCAAGGATCAGAGGACTCTCAGGATTACCTGCGGATACTAGCATCCTCCAGATGAAATTAACAGCTAACCAAAACCACATGGATTTATAGTAGGAATGCAATTTAGTTTAGCAAAAGTATTCATAAAACAGGATTCTTGGTGACCAATACAAAATGGTCACCCACATTACAATATTCTTAACAATAAAGAAAAATAATTTGAAGCAGACCTGTGATCCTTCCAAGTTGAAAGTCTGAGCATTGAGACACAACAAATTGATGTCCTTCTCCAGGTCACCTAGACTGCGGTATTTATGGTTACGGATTCTTTCCTATTGTGTATATAAAGATCAAAACAGAATAAAAATTCTCCATATGATGAGCGGAGGGAACTAGATCACAGTGATTGGAACAGCAGGGCTGTTAAGTGATGTCAATTTCAGCTCCTTCAGCGTCAAAGGAGGAATGGAAATTGAGGACTGAATAAACAGCCATCCTGGGCAACGAAAGGCTAATTCACAAAAATGTGGTTTAATGCAGCTATAGGCTCAATAACATAATTGTAATAATAACCCTTCAAATATGGTAGCCATGATGATAGCAAATAGCCACATATGACCAGTTAGACTTGAAACTATTTGCAGTACGGTAGACTACAGCGGCACGTAGGCTGCTTGATGAGATCTGTAATTATGTGTGAACATGTCCATGGAAAGTAGGGTTACCAGGCCTAGCAACCAGTGGGAGACCCGGGGGTGGGGGGAGCTGGTGACAGCATGACACCACGTCTGGGTTTACTCAGAAGTGACGTCATACCTCTCTATGAATTAGTCAGAACTCTATGGTAAAACCACAGAGGTTTTGGTGATGTCATGCCATCAGCCAGTTTTTACATTTTTCTTCTGCTGCTGGACTACATGGTGATGGGAAATGCCAGCTTGGGGTGGAGGGATCCCCTGGGTCTCAGGGGCTGGCCCTCTTTCTTGACAAAGAAACAGCTACTATTACTCTGCATCTATGTGCTGTGGTGGAAGAAAGTGGATTCTTTAAACTGGCCCATGATAAACATGCTCATCGTATATTTGAGAACAGCTCTCGTAAAGCCTCTCTCCAAACATGTTCTGGGTTTCATGCTCCACCAAACTGGGTTGTTATAAGCAAGGCACCATCCATAATAAAGCATAATAAAGAATCTTGGGTTCTATTACAGATAACCCACCACTGTAGAGCAAACTTCCAGAGTTCATACAGCTGTCTTGCTGATAGATTAGTTTGTACTCTGAAGAATTTGTTTAAAGCGAACTGTTGACAGTGAAGTATTACACACATGGAAGATTCACAGCAAGCAGTATTTTATATTTACAGTGTGTGCAAGAGTGTAGAATCCAGATACTGATCACTTGGGCTCCTGCTGGAAAGTGCAGTCACATACAGCAGAAGTGATGCTCACCTTTATTTTTTTGAAGTCCACCGGCTTCCTAATTAACTCATAGTACTCTGGGTATTCTTTCCTGGAAGGTAGCTGGATGAAAACTTCACTTAACTGTCGTCCTGAACTGTTAGAAAAGACAAAAACAATTGCAAAGAATCTTTGTAACTCCATTGTGAAAGGGACTGTACCTCCAAGTAATTTGGGACCATGCTTTCATAAATAGAGATGATGAGCAAGGAAGATAACGCTGGAAAAATCCTAGTAAGAAACCAGAAAAAAACCCATTCAACTCTTGCCCTCCTTGGGAAACAGCTAAACAAAACACTGGCTTTGAAAAATTCTAAGAAGTCCCTACTGCCATAGCTATTCAAAAATGGAACTCCTGTTGTTTCAGTGTCTAGAAAGCTTGGCAGATTTTCCTGCCATAGCATTTACAGCTGACATCTTGGATTTGTGCCTCAGAGAGAACAAATGCTTGCTTTGAATTTCCCAAACTGCATTTGGAATTGTCCTGGAGCTTCATACAGCTATTAACTGCCATATGACAGAAAGCTTAAATGTATGCCGAACACTTTCACAATTTTAGCATCATCATCATACATTTATATACAGCCATTTGACTGCTTCTGTCCACATCTACAGGAATAATGCATGTATTGTGTGAGACCACAGTTTATCTATTCCTGAACAGGTCAACCTCAGGTCATTCCCTTGTTAAACTGGCTCCTTGCTGTTCATACACATCGAGGTAAACAATGCACTTAAGCCACCACTCTACCTGTACCTACCACCTGCACAAGGACATTCATCACTGAAAAATGGGGACAAGATTGCTGAAAACTGGCCATAGGCTTCAAATTGTGGCTATTCAAGTTGTGGAGTACTACCTTGCATGTGGCTTTATAAGATGCTGCAGCTACCAGTAATTTTGACAAGGAAAAAGGGCAGCTGTGAATTTGACCTACATCCACTGTTCAAGTTGTAGAAATGCAGCACCACCAGTTAAGGCTTTCTCTGGCAGGAATCTGGCCTAATGAAAGGGCAACAGTGTGTAAGAACATAAATACACAGCAGATTATCTTGTTTACATTCCTACAGCAGCAACACAGTACTGAGTTTTACCCTTAGCACACACACCCCGCCCCAGGAGGGCTCCTCCTCTTCATAGAAGGATTCCATCTCTAAGTCCCTTTCTGTAAGTGAATATAGTTAAAAAAAATCACACTAAACATTCTTTTCTAGCAAAAATGCTGCAGTGGTTACAACTAAAGGTATGCTGAAAGAAAACTATTATTTATGAATATGCTATTGGGTTGCTCTCTATATTGTTGGTTTCATACAAATCTTAAAAGGAATAAATATGAAATCTACCAAACATGAAAAGCATGCGCACTTTTTCTCTTCTGGTTGCCTAGCAACTAGCAGGTTATATGCTGAAGAGCAATACGACCTGCATAAATTAGCAGAATCTGCCAAAAGATGAGTGGCACCTCTGTACTACAACCACATTGCCTCGGCATTGGGGTTTTTCACACATAAACAAATAAAAACAGCAACATTTTTTTTAAAAAAGAAAACATCCTTTCATTTTAATCTTGGCAGGTGATGAATCTATCTTTGCTCAAAAACACTGTGTGGTGTTTTAAGGGTATTAGCATGGAGAGCTATTCCCAGTGGCATGAACAAGCAATTAATGTTATGGTTTAAGGTGTACATTGATTTGACAGGTTGAATTCTCTGGGCATTGTGCAGCCAGAGGAACTTCCAGTCTTCCTTTACTAGAAAAACTGAGCAACACTTATTCATTCACCAATTTAACACCATACCAATTTCAAACCACACACACAAGAATGTGAAGCGTTCCTCCTCCTTCTGTGGGACTCATTTGATGAGCTTGTCTCATTTGCGTACTCTGTATAAGCACTGAACTGGACTACATATGTTAAACAGTAATTGCCATCTGCAAGAGGTGGCATGTGTGCAGAAAGTTGCATTCTCATGGAATGCAAGTAGAAAGTGCGAATGAGCTGGGCAGCTCTACCCCACAAGGCAAGCCAGTGTCCCTCCCGATACAGCATCAACAGCTCATTTGCACTATAGCAGCTATAACAGCACCCTTGGAGACTTGAGGGCTCCCCAAATGAGTGACCCGAATCCTGTACATATTCAGATTACAAGGCAAAGGGGCAAGCTCACTGCACAAACATCTACAGAATAGAATAACTATCTCAGTGAGTTCCCATGCAAAATCTGCATATCTTAACAGTGTCAGACAGCAGTTCTCTGCATGGAATGGCACACACAGTAATAATTAAGGAAGCTGTGGGAAGTAGAAATCTAGGATGGTCAGAGGTAAACCTTTAGCCCCACCCTTCAACCTCTAGGACAAGAGACGCAAGGAGAGTTAAAGTATGTGCTGCCTTTGCTCACAGAAACAAACTAATTTTGAAAAAAAGCAATTCCATCAATTGGCTGCCTAGTAGTGCTTGTTTGTTCCAATTTAATTAATTATGCCTTTGCCAAGCTTGTATTAAGGCTCAAATGTTCTAATGATAGAGCTTTGGAATCCCACATTCTATGACCGCAAAGCTCAAATTCTCAACTAAAATAACATACAAAGTTGATAAATGTTGTTCAATGCATATTCAGGTGAAAACCCTCTTAAATAAGCAATCAGAAGCGGTGGTGTGTCATAACCAACAATGCTGCAAGCAAACTATGCTCTCATCAAAATGACAGATGGATCAAGTACAAGCAGGAACTCCGGACAACGCTATGGAACCTTGCCTTTCAACTTTCCAATCTGTCAGGATGACAGTAAAAGTCCTAAACTCTTTATGAAGGGCAAAACCAGAGGAGACAGAAATTTGCCACTTTATCCAGAAAGTGTGTATTGGAGCAAGAGCGGATCCTTGGTCTTCATGCATGCTTAGTAAAGCAGCAAATGCAGTAGAATGTGTGGTATGGTAAGGCAGTTAACTCCAGCAGACTTTGGATGATTAAAAAGAATGTTCAGTGTATGAAAACTGACCTTCCATTCCTAACCACCAAGCTAAGAGGCCAGGATGAGAGAGACAAAGATGATCCCTAAGGGAACCTAAGCCCAAGAAGTGGTTAAGCCACAGGCTTGTTTTGTTGTTGTAACACTATGAATCTTGCACTTCAAAGGGTAGCACTAGAATACTTCGTGTGCTTCTCTTCAAGGTAGTACAAAAACTGACCCAATTTTATTTGGGGAAGTTTCTTTTCATGTTCAAATAATGATATTCCTCAACAACATTTTTACAGGGATAAAACTATTTGAAGGAAAATAGAAATAGATGCAACAACTCCTGTGAGTCTGGTAGTTGAAAACACTATCATTCTGGAAAAAGGCCACTAACTAACGTGTACAAAGTGGCCATAATAAGGAATAACAGGAATGTGCAAACACACAACAGGAGAGCTGTGAAAGATCTACAGACACCTATGCAATCTGCACTGCCTTGTGAAAGACCACAGTGCTGATCAAGTCTAATAATGTTTGCAGCTCCCCCGGGGCGGATGCTCTGGGCACTTAAAAGCCCCAAGTCGCCTGTCCCTTTACCACTCCCCCGAAGCCCCAATTTCGACCAGACATTGGCCCATCAGGAAAGGGGAGGGCTAGAATTTCCCGCCAATGCCTGCCCCTCTTCAGACTCTGCAGCCCAGACTGTAATGGCCGGCCGCAGTCCCACTGACCCTTCCCCCCCCCCAGCACAGTGCTGCAAACGGGGCTCCATGGAGATTCACAACCCCACTTAAATTAAGAAAAGAAGTGCTAAGCTAGAACCACCTCCTTAATATTCTTAAGATGTTGTACCATACGATCTCTCAATAGCTTCCTTGTTAAAATGGAGAAGTCACTCATAAAAGGTTTTTGTAACTCAGTAGTAGGACCTAACCCACAATTTCACCATCTCTAACCTGGCCTGCCAAACTATCATGCTGTGTATCTACAGAAATTTTCTGCAGATGTGAAAAGATCTAAATACAACAGGTACACCAGATAGTATTTTACATAGTTGGAAGATACGTTAATTTGCTACATCCTGGCAAGGTACCGTGTGTGTGTGTGTGTGTGTGTGTGTGTGTGTGTGTGAAGCTTTTCTGTTTAATGTTCTCTTCTGAAAGGAACCTATATTATTTGCTGTTTTCTCACATGATAAACACAAGCAAACACGCTTTCAATGCAATTGATCCTCAAAGCTTCCCCCCCAACGTAATCCTACAGAAATGAATAAGGATAGTGCTTGCTTAGCATTTAAAGTATAAGCCAAAAGAAATGAAATTCTATAAACCTCTGTATGAGGTAAATTGTCTATAACCTGCAACTTCGTTGCTTTTCTTCAAGGGCAATAGTAGCTATGGGCAGATCTTCAGTTTTTCATTTATCATTATTTTTTAAATTCAAGGACCACTTTCACTTTGTTGTTAGCAAAACAATGTAGAAAGAGAAAGGGGAACTATTCTGAAACTGCAGTTAACTTTTGTTGATGATATATTCAGCAGAACAAAACTCAACTCCAGTGGCAGTACCTTAGAGACCAACAATTTTTTTTTTCAGGGTATAAGATTTTGTGAGTCAAATTTCACCTCATCAGATATGTTTCATTTGTCAAATGAAACATATTTTCCAGAGACTATAAACAATGATGCATGGCGCATCAAACACAAGACCGTAAGAGATGTAGCTAATATGGATAACATTCCTAAGCATGTTTACACAGAAGGAAGTCCTACTGAATTCAATGGGATTTACTGTACAATCGTAAACATAGAAAAAATCTCTCTGTTTAGGATTGCCCTGTTATTCCCTGTGTTTAGTAAGGAAACTAAATCACAGAGCACTGAGATCATGTCTCAATCTACAAGAAGTTAATTCTCTTCACTGAAAGAGTTCCAAGAGAACTAAGACTGGCCCAAGGTCACCAAGTTGGCTTCATGTGGAGCAGGAGTGGGGAATCAAACTCAGTTCTCCAGATTAGAGTCCGCCACTCTTAACCACTACACCACGTTGGCTCTCTGACAGAGAACATGCCCAATGTAATCAGTCTTCCCTAGTAGTATATAACCCCAATCAAGTGTTAGGTATGTTCTAGATCA